TGTCTAATTTTTCACACATAGTTACCTTCATATTTCCTTTCACCAAAATTGTACATTTAATGTGAAACGTTTATTTGTGAATGTCAATAACACATTTATTACAACAACAACACTAAATAATCGATGCGCATATGTATATTGTATTTGTAGAATATAATTACACAAAATAACTAATGTGGACATAAAATCACTTTTAAAACTCGTTAATTGACATTGAACAGGGGGATTAACATTATTTTAATTCCCGGGCCACCAGAGCGTATGCTTTATCGAAACTGATGTACAAATAGCGCCACGGGGCGTATAATACATTTTTTTTATTTTTTTTACAATATTCACAGTGATGTCTCAGACTTCTAAAAATATTCTAATTCAATATTCTAATTCAATGACACGCTGCAAACGCATGTAATGCACTTTTCAAACTAAGCTAGACGATGTATGAATCATACGCATTTAAACACCAACACTACAACAAACACACACACGGACACATTAAATGAGCTTCAACAAAATAAAAATCAAACACACAATACTTCACTTGCAATGGTCTATAGATTTTGAAGTATGATGTGAACTTTTCAAACTTCAAATGCGTTTTAATATCTTCAACAGCCCAGTGCACACAACAAGTCCGAAAATTTTTGATTTTGTATTTTTTTTTTTGTGTGCCGATTTCAGAAAGGATAGCAGAACGATAGCCGAAAAGGAACTAACGTCATCAGTGAATAGTTGTGGCATTCATTGCCACTCTCGAATAGTTACACTCGCACACGCACACAACTATTATAAACCACCGCATACCAGCCAGCTCATGAATGAATTGGCATGTGAGTTAACATTTTGTTGAGCGTACAAGCGTGGAGGAAAATTGAGTGAATCTCAAAACACATACACACAAAATGCAACTGCATATTTTGTAGGGATATTTAAGAGAACAAAAATGGGAGAATGACTAAGGAAAGAGATAATGAGAAATAGAAAACTATGATGTTAAGAGAAAATTATGGGACATGAGTTTGTCAGGTGAGCAAACTGATAATAATATGGGTCAAAGGAAATGATGCGACATGCAAATAAGAAATGATAACTGTATATGAGAATATATTGTGTTTTTTTTTACAGGCGAAGAAAAGGAAGAATGTGTAGAATCTGAAAGAACGCTTTTCTACACCAGCTGAAGAAGGGTGTCTCCCCTAGACGTACTGAAGGGAGTCTCTATAGACGAGCGAGCTGAAGGGAGTCACTATAGACGAGCGAGCCGAAAGGGAGTCACTATAGACGAGCGAGCTGAAGGGAGTCACTATAGACGAGCGAGCTGAAGGGAGTCTCTATAGACGAGCGAGCTGAAGGGAGTCCCTATAGACGAGCTGAAGGGAGTCTCTATAGACGAGCTGAAGGGAGTCTCTATAGACGAGCTGAAGGGAGTCTCTATAGACGAGCTGAAGGGAGTCTCTATAGACGAGCTGAAGGGAGTCTCTATAGACGAGCTGAAGGGAGTCTCTATAGACGAGCTGAAGGGAGTCCCTATAGACGAGCTGAAGGGAGTCCCTATAGACGAGCTGAAGGGAGTCCCTATAGACGAGCTGAAGGGAGTCTCTATAGACGAGCTGAAGGGAGTCTCTATAGGCGAGCTGAAGGGAGTCTCTATAGACGAGCTGAAGGGAGTCTCTATAGACGAGCTGAAGGGAGTCTCTATAGACGAGCTGAAGGGAGTCTCTATAGACGAGCTGAAGGGAGTCTCTATAGACGAGCTGAAGGGAGTCTCTATAGACGAGCTGAAGGGAGTCTCTATAGACGAGCTGAAGGGAGTCTCTATAGACGAGCAGAAGGGAGTCTCTATAGACGAGCTGAAGGGAGTCTCTATAGACGTGCTGATGGGAGTCTCTATAGACGAGCTGAAGGGAGTCTGTATAGACGAGCTGAAGGGAGTCTCTATAGACGAGCTGAAGGGAGTCTCTATAGACGAGCTGAAGGGAGTCTCTATAGACGAGCTGAAGGGAGTCTCTATAGACGAGCTGAAGGGAGTCTCTATAGACGAGCTGAAGGGAGTCTCTATAGACGAGCTGAAGGGAGTCTCTATAGACGAGCTGAGGACCAGATGGAGTGTTTCATAGATTACATAGAACTGCAGAAGAATGGATTCCTTTATAGACAACCCAAAGAGAGTCTTTCATTTAGGAATAGAAGACGAAGGGACGAACTGAGGCAAGTATTTCATAGATGTGCTGAAAAAGGGAACCTACATGGACGAGGAAGAGTGAGACTGCCTTTAGTCTCTATTTACGAGCTGCAGAGAGTATCTACTGTCTCTCACGAGCTGATAAAGGGAGTACTTCATGTACCATCTCAATGTAGTCTGAATTTTGTCGCCATTATAGAAAAACTGAAGAAGGGAGTATATTGCAGAAAAGCAGGTGAAGGGGCCCTCCATAGACAAATAGAAGTAGCTGATATTTGATACACCAGCTGTAAATTAGAATTGAATGTAATACATTAGAGACGAGCACAAAAAGAAAATCTCCATAGATGAACTGTAGATTGGAGCCTCTATAAACGAATTATAGGAACAGAGTTTTTCATAAAGTGCAGAGAGTATCTACTGTCTCTCACGAACTGATAAAGGGAGTACTTCATATACCATCTAAATGCAGTCTTTCATATACGATCTGAATGCTGTCGCAATTATAGACAAGCTGAAGAAGGGAGTATATTGCAGAAGAGCAGATGAAGGGACCATCCATAGACAAATAGAAGTAGCTGATATTTGATACACCAGCTGTAGAATAGAATTGAATGAAATCTATCAGAGGCGAGCACAAAAAGAAAATCTCCATAGATGAACTGTAGATTGGAGCCTCTATAGTCGAATTATAATAACAGAGTTTTTCATAAAGTGGTTTTATACAACCAAAATGAGGCAAATTTTTATAGACTAACAAAATTTAATGTCTGTTCAGATCTTTTATTGGATAAAGTCTTTTTAAACGAGCTGAAAATCGGAACATTTCATAGGCAAGTAGAAATAGGAAAAAAGAAGAAGAACTATTTAATAGACGAACTGAAGGAGTGAAAGACTTTTTATAACCGATTAGTGGAAGGGAGTCTCCGAATATCTAATCTAAATAATGTAGCCTCCTTAGACGATTATAACAACGGTATTTAAAAATTCTGAAAAATTTTCTGCTCGTTTTTCGATACCGTCGTTCCCTTGATCGTCGTATCAACTGTATGCAACTTTCATTTCAGGGGAAAAAAGAAAATAATTTCTTCCTGAGAATGTGTCTCACATTGCATTTGAAAATGTAATCTGCATACAACCATGTAAAATACCATAAAAGGACGGAGTGTATATCTTTCCATGGACTTGACAAGAAGTGAAAATGTAAAACAAACAATGTGCAGCAGGCTCTACATCCCTGCCTCTCAAACCTCCCAACAATCAAATGAAAGAAAATCAAAGTGATATTAAACAAACATACAACCATTTCCAAAATTGCTGTAGGAACCACATACACCCACACACACATACACGACCACATTCTTTTCATTCATAACGAGAAATAAAACTGAGATAACAAAGATTCCTTTGCCACATTTTGGTGTCTGGCTGGCTGGCTGCCTATGTGGGAGGAAAATGTCATCAGTCAGTGTTGCTGTCGTTGTTGCTGCCCAACAATATCGGCGACAATAGGCCAACAGGTTAAATCAACAGAATGCGTTATCGAACCTAATGCCACCACAGAAAACAACCACTATTATCCTGTGGTGCAGCAGAGAATCTTTCAGATTTCATCCATGTAATTCATTGCAATTTTCTAGCCACAGATAAAACAAAAAACCACAAGGAAGTAAAATCCTATTGAAAATCCGCAAAATGCCTACATCGAAAAGCCATCTGCACAAACACACACGCACACGAATGTACATTCTTATCTGAATAAGAAGTCGTTAAAAATAATGTTTATTTAACAAACCACAAAACTGGACGAGAGTACAAGTGAAATTTGTTTTGACCCAGGGCTCAGAGGGGAAAATAATTGAGGTGGTACAACGCAAACATTTCCGCAAAGAACCAACTCAGGGAAAGTCCAATAAAAAATTGACCTACATTACAAGGATTTCTATTAAAGAGGGACGTTTTAACGTGAAAAAAATAAGGGAAGTCTTTTCATAGTGGAGTTGAAGAAGAGGTCTTCCATAGACGAGTTCAGGAGGGAGGCGGGCTGATGAGTAGTCTTTATAGAAGAACTGAACGAATACTATATAGACGAGCTGAAGGGAGTCTTTCTCAGATAAGCTGAAAGGGGTCTCTTATAGAGGAGCTGAAGGGAGTCTTTCATAAACGATCTGAAGAAAATCTTGCGTAGACTAGCCGAAGGGAATCTTTCATAGACGAGCTGATTGGGAGCCTTCAATAGACGAGCTGAAGGGAGTCTCAATAAACGAGCTAAAGGGAGTCTCAATAGACGAGCTGAAGGGAGTCTAAATAGACGAGATGAACGTAGTCATCCATAGATGAGATGAACGGAGTCTTCCATAGACGAGATGAATGGAGTCTTCAATAGATGAGCTGAAGGGAGTCTTCCATAGACGAACTGATTGGCAGTCTTCAATAGACGATCTAAAGGGAGTCTCTAGAAGACGACATGAAGGCAGTCTCTATAGACCACCTGAAGGGAATATCTATAGACGTCTATACATGATCTGTGTTCTCTATGTACGTGTGAGCGAGGTCAAAGCAACCGTCATATAGACGAGCTAAATATTTAATTCTTTATATTCGAGCCGAAGAAGAGTGGATTTATAGGCAAGCAGAAGTGAGTCACTACGGACGAAGGGGCTTTATAAACGAAAAGGCATTTTAAAGGTGAGATAAATAAGAGATATAGTTTTATAGATTTCGACGACTACAAACATTTTCATATTTTTTGTGGAATTTATTTTCAAGTTGCCCATAAAACTTTCTTAAAAAAAAGTAAAATATCTTTCCCACTTACCTCGAACTCAACAATCTCTCTGCTTCGTATGCGGTCATATCATCCGGCAGACTATCTTCTCGGCCAATAGATTCAGTCGTCGGCTCTACGGGCTCTTGCACCAATGATTTTATCTTCTCCTCCACATAGAAGTCATCGACAAAATCAGCATCTCCTTCAATGGTACGCATTAAATCTTCCTCATCCTCCCCAGCACTGGTGTCGGCATATTCTAAATCCTGTAAATCCAGTGAATTGATATTATTTATGGCTGAAGCTGGAGGTGGTCGTTCGGGTAGAGCTGGTATATCATTGGCCTCATCCATTGAAGCGATTGGTGCCACACCTTTGGCAATTGAAGATATAGATCTTGAATTAGATGAGGAGTTGGCATTGCTACCTGCCGACAATGGCGGCGACATGGGTGGTGTAGATTTGACACTTATTTCTGAACTGCGGCGGCGTATGGGCGAAACAATGCCAACTGGTGGTGATGTGGCAGTTTTTATGGGTGATCCCATTAACGAGTTGGATCCGGAATTGGATTTTGTGGGTGACATAGCAGCTGGGCGTTCCTTTTCCTTACCGCCATAATAAATTTCTGCCGTTCCTGATGATTCGGTTTTTATAATGGCATATACCGTTGAGGTTTCTTGGGCAAAACCATTAGCATGGAATTTCTTGTGCATATCGGTCACCTTGGCTGCAGTGTCATATAGTTCCGATTCACCGAATACCTCACGTGATTCACTGCCATCGGGTTTCAGACGATAACCGACATCAACGTAGTTAAGACTTGGTGTTTCAGCCTCATCCAGATCTTCAATTGTGTAGTGATGATGATCATCATCAGCGTCATCATTTCCGACAGCATTTGTTTCGGTCTTTGGCATTTTATTGCTGCTGGGACTTTGTTGTTGTTGTTGCGCACGAGTAATTTGTTGCTTTGGACTTTCATATTCATAGGCTGGCCTCAGTTTGGCTTTAATTTCCGGTGACGGTTCATTGAAACCTCCTTCGTCAAAACTTGTCGCCGATGAAGAAACAATACTAGCTGGTCGGGAACCTAAACCGGCCGCTGGCATATTCAGTGAAATGCTAGAGATCCGTTTCGATGCTACCGATGATGATGTTGATGATGAACGCTGCGGTGAGGTGATGACGTGGTTTTGGGAGTTCGCAGCAGCATTGTCGGTGACATCGTTGTTGGTATTTTGGCGTTCCAATTTATTAGAGCGTCCTGAAAAAGGGTAAAAATAGGAGATTTTATTAATACATATTCTTATGTTGATATTGAACTGAATTGTAAGATATTAGGATACGAATTATACATGCTGGAAAAAATATTTTTGACGAGTTGAAGAACAGGACTGTGCTTCGAAAACAAGCTGAATAAATTCCTACAAACGAGCTGATGTGAGTCTCTATATGCTATCTTATGGGGTCTCTGTAGACGAGCAGAATAGAGTTCCTTTTGACGAGCTGAAGGGAGTCTATATAGACTATCAGAAGGTTGTCGTTATAGGCGGGCGGAAGAAAGTCTCTATAGATGAGCTTAAGGGAGTCCCGATTGACAAGCTGAGGGGAGTATCGAGCTGAGAGGTGTATCTATTGACGAGAAGAAGGTAGTCTCTATAGACGAGACGAAGAGAGTGTCTATTGACGGGCTGAAAGGAGTTTTTGTAGGCGAGCTGAGGGGTGGCTCTATAGGCGATTTTACGAGCTGAAGGGAGTTGCTATAAAAAAGCTGAAGGGAGTGTGAGTAGAAGTTGAAGAGAATATCTACAGACAAGCTGAGGGGAGACTGTATTTACGAGCGTAAGGGAGTCTCTATTGAAGAGCGGAAGGGAGACTCTATAAATGAGAGGAAAGAGGGGAGTCTCTATAGACGATGTGTAGGCGACTCTATAGACGAGCTGAAATGAGCCTATATAGAACCCGAGCAGAATACCCTCTTTATAGACGACCTATAGATGGGATGGGCCTTCAACTTTTGGTGATACATATATTAGATATCATACTAAAGTAACATTTCATGTAGGTAAATATTTTATTGACTACACCGAAGTATTATTTGTCATTCTAATATTTCTTTTTTTCTAATTTTGACAATTTTCAAAAAATTCTTATTTTTGTGCTTTTCTTTCAAAAAAATTAGTTTTTCCCAAAAATAGAAATGGAATTCGAACAATTGCCACAGGATTTCCTCTTTTTCTATGATATTTGCAAATTGCCTGAGAAAGTATTCCCGCAAGGTTCCAAGGAATTACAATTGACCCATTTGTGGTTGGATTATTTGTCCACCTATGAGACCGAGAATTTGGATGAGATGCGCCTTGTAAATATTTATATGAGTCATTTGTGTGCCGCCTTAGTGGAGGGTAAATTATATGGACCATTTAGAAGTGAACCACCTGCTCGCGGAAATGATGAAAAATTACAAAAAGTTGACTTTAATGCGGAATTTCCCACAACTGAAGAAGAGAGCGTCGTAAAATGTCCGACAATGTTACCAACTGGTACTACCGAAGTGGATGATATTTCAGATAGCGGTGTAGTAGTTAGTGGTCAGGACCAGACCCCTCAAATTGCGAATTATTGCAATCGAAACAGTGAAGAATCCCCTCAAGTTTCTCAATTTTATAATAACCACATTAACGATACAAATGATCATCCAGTTGAGGAAGAAATTGCGGAATTTCCTCATTGTCCCAATAACAGCAAAATGGATGCTAAAACTCCGAGTAAATAAAATATTCAAATTATCCTTAATTATAATAACTAAAAATATATATTTTTATTTTTAAATTTATTCGCAATAGAACTAATAGAATCCAAGGGACACATACATGTGGGCTCTACACATTTATATTACAATGTTATCACGGGTGGCGGTGGCAATAACATATCTAAATCAATGGAATGTCAATGTCCTCCCAAACCCTGCCAATGTGAAAAACATGATATCAACAGAGCCTGCCATTGTAACAATCGTTCCAGTGCTGGCTTGGACAAAGGGCATCTTGAGAATTCCACTTTCAATGCTTACCTGATGAATGATTTAAATTTGCCGCCGGAACTGTGTAAGAATTTTAATGCGACTCTCAGTTCCTTTATTGATATTTGTAAAGGTGTCGAAAAATCCCGACAAAATCTGAACAAATCCGATATATCAAAAACTGAACAATTCCATCAATTTGTACCCAATCCTTTGGTGGAAAATTTACAGTCGGTTGAGAAGTCCGCTACGAACGCCGCAACGTCTAAAGATGCCAAAGATATGCACGAAGATATTTGTGAACTCTTAGAGGCTATATCAATGGAATTGCGTGGAGATGTCGGACCCGGTTATAGTTATTATTTGGAACGTGAATTGGCTCGTTACAAAAGCTATGTAATGACCCAACCACAGCGGGTAGATGAATTAAGAACATTGTCATCCGACATGAAAGTACGTTATTATCTGCTGTTGAGCCTTCAAAATAATTTGGTGAAATTGTTAAGTGATTTTAGATGTTGCAAATAAATCTGATCTGATTCACAGACAAACAAATAAGAATTTATGTATAGGTGGGGGATATTTATAGGTTATAACCTATACACATAAATTGTTAAGACACTGTAGACGAGCGGAAGGCAGTCGCTATAGAAGAGCGGAAGAGAATCTCTATAGACATACTGACATGAGTCTCTATATATGACTGGAAGGACGTCTCTGTAGACAAGCAGGATGGGAGTCCCTATATTGACAAGCGGAAGGGAGTATCTATAGACGATCTCAAAGAGGTATCTATGGACAAGTTGAGGGGAATCTCTATAGAGCAGCTGAAGGGAATCTCTATAGAGCAGCTGAAGGTAGTCTCTATAGACGAGCTGTAGGGAGTCTCTATAGACGAACTGAAGGTAGTCTCTATAGACAAGCTGAATGGAGTCTCTATAGACGTGCTGAAGGGAGTCTCTATAGACGAGGTGAAGGGAGTTTCTATGGATGAGCTGAATGGACTCTCTATAGACGAGCTGAAGGTAGTCTCTATAGACGAGCTGAAGGGAGTTTCTATGGATGAGCTGAAGGGAGTCTCCATAGACGAGCTGAATGGGCTCTCTATAGACGAGCTAAAGAGAGTCTCTATAGACGAGCTGAAGGGAGTCTTTATAGACGGATTGAAGGAAATGTTGGTAGACTTTAGAGAGAAGAAACTTTTCAGTGAGCATATACTGAAGAAGACCCCCGAATCTCGGACTCAACAATTGAATGTTATATCCTCAGCCTTAAGGCTAATTGTGACCTAAATCGTACCAGACAGTTTTCAGTTCACTTAGAAAATTGTTCATGTGGAGACTCTTTTACTCGAGCAACATAAGTCGGTTCATTCTGCGTGTTATAGTACAATTCCGTTTGCAGGCAGACACTGAAGTCAATAGAAGAGTTATAGGTCTTCTTCGTATACAAGAACTATAGGTCTTCTTCGTATAAAAGATATATAGGGTTTTTTCGGATAGAAGAGCTATAGGTTTTCCTTGTTTAAAAATGAGATATAGGTCTTCTTCGTATAGAATAGTTATAGCCCTTCTTCATATAGAAAAGCTATAGGTTTTCTTCGTATAGAAGAGAAGGTCTTCTATCTATAGAAGACAAATAGGTCCCCTACGTATAGAAGAGGTATAAGTGTCTCCGTATAGAAGAGCTATAGGTACTCTAAGAGCAATAGGTCTACTTCGGATAGAAGAGCCAAAAGTCTCCTTAGTATAGATGAACTACTTGAGCAACATAGTCAGTTCATTTTGCGTGTTATAGTATAATTCCGTTTGCAGGCAGACACTAAAGTCAATAGAAGAGTTATAGGTCTTCTTCGTATACAAGAACTATAGGTCTTCTTCGTATAAAAGATATATAAGTTTTTTTCGGATAGAAGAGCTATAGGTCTTCCTCGTATAAAAAAGATGTATAGGTCTTCTTCGTATAGAATAGTTATAGCCCTTCTTCATATAGAAGAGCTATAGGTTTTCTTCGTATAAAAGAGGTCTTCTATCTATAGAAGACAAATAGGTCCCCTACGTATAGAAGAGCTATAGGACTTCTTCGCATAGAAGATCTATAGGTAATATTTTAATAGAAGAACAATAGGTCTACTTCGGATAGAAGAGCCAAAAGTCTCCTTAGAATAGATGAACTACTTGAGCAACATAGTCGGTTCATTCTGCGTGTTATAGTACAATTCCGTTTGCAGGCAGACACTGAAGTCAATGGAAGAGTTGTAGGTCTTCTTCGTATACAAGAACTATAGGTCTTCTTCGTATAAAAGAGATATAAGTTTTTTTTCGAATAGAATATCTATAGGTCTTCCTCGTATAAAAAAGAGATATATGTCTTCTTCGTATAGAATAGCTATAGCCCTTCTTCATATAGAAGAGCTATAGGTTTTCTTTGTATAGAATAGAAGGTCTTCTATCTATAGAAGACAAATTTCTTCTACGTATAGAAGAGGTATAGCTGTCTCCTATAGGAAATATTCAAATAGAAGAGCAATAGGTCTACTTCGGATAGAAGAGCCAAAATTCTTCTTAGTATAGAAGAACTATAGGTCTTCTTCGTATAGAAAAGCTTCAGATCTTCTTCGTATAGAACAGCTATAGGTCTACATCTATAGAAGAGCTGTAAATTGTCTTCGTATAGAAGATCTGTAGGAACTTTGAATAGATGGTCTGTAGGGACTTTGAATCAACTTGTATAAAGGATATATTTTAGTGAAATCTTAATTTTGATGATATGTGAGTCATTCGACACATCTTGAATGTGACATTCCTCAAATAATGAATCCTCCTCATTACACAACATAGGCATATTTTTAGTCAAAATAACAAATTCCACTCACATTTTTGCGAAATGGAAAAATTATGTATAGATATGTATATATAAATAGACTTATCTATAAATTTAAAAAATAGTTTTGTTTTAAATAGACATAGTAGAGTCAGCCAAAAAAAAATCTGTTTTATTTTTAAATATACCACCATGGAATAACAATTTATGGCATGTCACCTGATTCACAAGTTTCCGTAATGTGAATTTTTTGACAAACATATTCAGAGTGAAAATAGACAGAAAGAAGCAGATAAAGTACAAAAAGTAAAACAAAAAATCAGAAACCAAGAATCCCTTATGTTTTTACAAAATCTTTTTCGAATTAAAATATAGATGTTATTCTAATTGGATATACAATCAAGGTCCTACTTCTAGGT